GACGACCCGGCGCCTGCAGAGCAGCAGCAGCAGCACCAGCAGCAGCAGCACCAGCAGCAGACCACCGGAAGCCTGGCTAGCTTTCGTTCACCCCCTCTGGCCTCAAGTGGACCTGAGACTGTTCAGGGTTCATTCAAGCAGGATGCTTCTGTGCCAACTGCGTACCTAAGCGTTTGAGCACCTTGGACAACGTCAAGACCAGTGCTTGCTCAGGCTGGCTTGTGGACAGCAGCTGTGCTCACACGTTTGGCAGGCCTTCAGGAGCTGAGGCCGTCGGGGCCGCTTCACACGAAAGACATCCTGGGTGGTCAGCCCTCTTCACACTCTTCGCTTTCCAGAGGGGTGAGGAAAGGAAAGAGAAGTGGCATGAAGTGGCACTAGGGCTACTGCAGTGGCTACTGCCTATGTTCAGATGCAGTAGGGCACCCGTGAGTTGGCGTGAAGAACAACCTTGTGGAGATGCAGGATGGGAGTGGCTTCCTTACGCCTCACTAGTGGTACTGTACGTTCCCAGTTAGCTTGCCGTTTGAGCCATGTTCAGGCTGGAGAACCTCCCTATGGGTGTGGCCAGCTAAGCTCTCCGTTGGTCTGATGGCATTTGCACAATAGAACAGAAATGAGAGGGATGTGTCTGTCCGTCGAGCGACTTCGCGAGTGATTTAGCTTTTTGGAAGGTGTTCCACAGGCTGACCATGTGACGAGTCACGCAACCAAGGTGGTGGCGTTGCAAGTGCTTCGGCGCCGCTTGAGGACCGGAGAGACGACCTTTTGGCGCTCAAAACAATGCTCTTTTGGCGCTGCCGGTCAGACAGGACTCCTTTGGAGCACTTGTTTAAGTTGGTCGCCCCAGAGAAGAGAGTCCGATTCATTTGGGACATGGAATGACATGGATGGATTTTTGTTTGCTGCAAAGGATGCAGCATGATACAGCTTTTTGATGCAATTTTGTATGAATCAGATCCAGCCCTTTGGGCCCGGCGGCTTTTGCGCTGCCACGACTCAGGTTGACCCTGGGGAAAGGCTGCACTGGTCTAAAGGAGCAGCAGGCCACTGCCCACGTTTTCCAAATGGTTGCCTGCTGAACAAGGCTGACATAAAGCCTTGCATATCTTGCATTATGATATTTCGTAGCATATAGTAAAATATAATATAATATATAAAATAAAAATAAGCTATGATCCATGCTAGCTGAATGGTTGGATGAAAGCTTGATTCACGAGAGAGGCGCAAGAACCTTTGCTACTTGCAGCGAAGTCCAAACCAAATACCGAAGTGTTGAGGCAGGACAAGAGCTGGCATTTGCGTTAGCCAAGCTGTCACCGCTTTTGAAGTGCCTGAACTTGGCGGGGTGGACGGCCTCAGTGCGAAGCGAGCGACTTTCGGACTGGACCCGAACAGAAGGCCGCGCTTGGCGACGCTTTGAGGCCTCGTCAGCTTTGCGACGAGGTCAGCTTTGCGACGTTCGGAGCTTTGCGAGGTCTGACGCCACACCTGTCATGCTTCTGGGAATGGTGGAGGCCTTCTCTGCGCCAGGGGCCCGTCGTGTGGATGTGTGAATTTCGTGTTGACCTCATGATCCTCATGTTCCAACAGAACACGCACATTTGACTGAGGCCATCCACCCCAGGTCTAGATGGTTTGCAGGCAGTGGCCACAGTGAAGTTGGCACCACGTGATTCTGACTGAGCCATTGTAGCTGAAGGCTATGAGGGCGTTGTGTCGTTTACATAAGCACGCACCAGGGATACAGATAGGTACAGTACACAATTTGCAATCTGTTGCGCACATATCATGAATGTGAACCCTGCTCATATCATCTCATATCCTCTCTTTGTTGTCATCATCACCTGCAAACCTGCATGCCCTGGGAACTTGAGGTGCTTGGTGTATGGCACAATATGGCAGCAAGTCTTTGGTTCATGGTTCACTTGATGCTGACAAGATGTTTAGTGCAAGAGGCGCACCTCTAGGTGCACTGTGCATTGACAAGGCTTGATTTCCCAGCTCTACAAAATGCACAGGTATATTTTTCACACCTTCGTTGGCCTCCGCATGGCTCGGTCTGGATTTCTGAGGCCGGGCCACCACCTCGATTGCTGCAGTTGACCTGGAAGCCTCGATGCACATTTTGCGGGCTGCGGGCGTGCAAAAAACGGCAGGGGCATGAAACCGGACGACAGAAGAAGCCGCACATCAGCGAGAAGATGGTCAACTGATGTGCGGTGTTTATTTCCGTGTGACGATGGTCAACCACCTCAAAAACCCTGACATGGGCGAAAACGTGTGACATGTGTTGCAACCTACCTTGCGATGAGTCGGTTTCTCCATTCCTGGTTTGGGTGAGGATTGATGTGGGCGAGGACGAGGCCAAGCAGAACGAGCCATGGCAGGATGTAGCCGATGATAATGGGGCTGTTTGTGTTGACTATCCCTCGGCAAGGTTGCCTTACCCCAAGAAAACAAGTAGCCTTTTTTGCATGTTGGCTTTCATCAGCTTCACTCGCTGCCCCAGTAGTGCACAAGCATCAACTAAAGAGTGGATAACATCGTCCACAGAACAATACTGTAGCAACGGCAATGGGCCAAAGGCTGTTCGCAAGTTTCAATCTTGAGCGACTGGGGACCCTCCCTCATGAATCAGAACCTCTACAGTACAGCTTGGCCTGCCTCCCGCAACATGCTGGTGTACAATGATGTGTACACAGCATATGTCCATATGCAACGTGCATACATACATACATACATTCAGACAGACAGAGAGTCAGTCAGTCAGACAGACAGACAGACATATAGATGTTGATGAGTTTTGATGATCGAATCCTCCCAAAACCCTTTGCTTCAGCAAGAACCTTTCGGAAGAGTGGAAGAAAGATTTGCAACCTTGCGATTGGATATTGGCGACTACAGACTTACTAAACTTGCTAAGACAATCGTTGCGTTTCGCATTCAATTGAGATGAATCTCCGCTCCCGTATGTTAGCATTCAATGATTTCTAGGGAGCCCAAGCCAAGTCCAAGCCACAGAAAGGATCGGGAGGGAGCTTCAAACACTTCGCCGCACACTTTGCATGCTTGAATTCACCAAGGGAAACACTAAGATGCAAAACAAGTCTAGGCGGCTGCTTCGCTGTACTGTACAGCATCATTTGTGTTTGTGTTACAGGGCGCCTTTGGGAATGACTTCTTCCCACTGCTTCAGGCGCAACGGTGCGTCAATGCTTGCTTCTTTTTAAGCAACCAATAGCATTGGTCCACTCATCACACCAATGTCAGAACTGATGTCAAGCAACTCATCACGCCCTGCGACGTCATGATGGTTGACTCAAGCTCTCAGCCTTGTTTTGATCGGAATTGGATGCCGCAGATGGTTTTTGAAGCCAGATGCTCTTTGTATATTTTGCATGATTCAGCTGTGTACACTTCATGCACGAACACATGCGACCATATGCTTGCCTCTTTAGAGGGGATGTTCAATCAACCAGCTCAGCTTTTCTCGGACTGCTCGGTGACAGGCATTGCAGCTGAGTCAGCCCCCTAGACTTGCTAGACAGCTCCCTCTTGCCATTGTGAAAATTGGACGATTGTTATTGATGATGGGTGCCCTTTCCTGGTTCCAAGCAAGGGCGTTGAGGTGTCAAAATGCAACATATTGAAGAATGAGGTCCCCGATGCAGAGCAAGAACATGTTTATAGAACGTGCACATCCTTTTGCAGTTTTTTCTGGACTCTTAGACCATGTGGCTGCTGGAAATTCCAAAGCTAATTGTATCTAATGATATAAAGCTGAGGTCTTGGATGCCCTTGCTTGCGTGGCATTCGAACCCACAAAGATTTCCCCGTCGCTGCCTTTGCACATTTGGCCAGAGGGCACGTTGTTTTTGGATGCTTCTGAAGTGGTCCTTCGGGTGAATCAGGAACAATTTGCATCACAATGGTCCCACTGATGAATGCCTCGAAAAGAGCAGACTGCAAGCTTTCGAACAACAGAGGGTTAGAAATCCAAGTGGCCCAGGTAGAGTGCCCAGATATCATTCAAGACAGCGATTAGGAGCCAACCCTTTTCCACGAACCCAGATGGATTTTGACACTGGAACCCGGTGAGCTGAGCTTTTTTTGTAATTACCTGCGATATCCAAGAGATATACAACTTAAGATTCAAGCTCATCTAAACTCCTGACTCTCCTGACTGACTTCTACAAACCATGGTCAAAGATCTGGTACCTCAGTGCTATGGGGGGTAGGGCACAGTCATGCTGAAGCACCTAATGTTGGAGTCGAGGCTTTGAACAAGTGGAGGCAGGCCGAGCATTTGCTGTATCTACAGTGATTACTGTCATTGTGTTGTTGCTTTGACAAGTTTTTGCAACCACTGGCTAGGCTATGCGATGAAGAAGCTCAACAAACAGCTTGAGCATCTTGAGTGGTACTTGACACACTTCTGAACTGTTTTAGTAGGAGAGGTCAGTGGAGATCATACTGGCTCTGCATGCTCAGAATCATGCGATCGACAGGCCAGAAAAGATTACATTTGTGCAACCAACTCAATCAGTTGACTGAAGCCTGAGCTGTTGTTCGAGATAATCAATGGTGTCCTGAAAGTCAATGTCCATTTCTCCAATGATGTTGGCAATTCATGGATGGTTGCAGTCTTCAAGAACAAAACCTAATGGTTTTTAACGTTGCTGGTCCATTCTGGTCTCATTCTTTTCAGTAAATCGTACAGTTGCGTCGCCAAGATGGCCACGTGGTGCTGCAGCCCTAGCAGCGCTCAAGCGAGACAGATAGCAACAGTTCTCCAACAACTGAGAACCCATCGCACCTTGGCTGTTCCGTTGTTGGACTTTAGTTGTTTTTGAAGTCCAAGTCCAGGTCAGAGATTTTGTGTGTGTGACGCACAGGCTACTGCAGCTAGTTAGCTCATATTTACATGGGTATTCAAAGAGAAGGATATTACAATACAGATATATACAGAATGTGCAGATAGGGCCGTTTGAGCTGCAATGGCTTGGCATGCCTCGCCGTCGGCTTTATGCCATTGGGAAGCATCGCCACCTGCTGGTGCCTAGATGGCACATTGTTGAAATGCGGGGTATACGAGGTGTTTTCGAGTTTATGTATGCTTTCAGGTCTTTCTACGGCCTCCAGCTTTCTCGGTCGCAAAGGAGACCTTGATGTGGTTCGGAACCTACTCGTGATAATGCAGTTTGTCCTGACATGATCAATGGTTAATATCTAAAAAGAAGCTGATTCTACATTTGTTGATGAGGAACGCTTGCTTATGCCCAAACTGCCTCCTCCGATGAAAAAGCACCTCTTTACCAAAACCCCGAAGTTGCGGCATCACATAGAGCCTTGGCATCAGATGAGCACGTCCGAATGAATGAGATGAATCTCAGCGTTCATTGACCTTCAGTCTTCGACATGCAAACTCAGTGGTACATGACAAAGCCGTAGACCATTGCAAGATGTTGCAACAAGATGTAGACATTTTGTGAAATCGATCAACTGTCAACTCTGAGCCTTCTAAATTCAACCATCGATGTTTGTTGAAGATAAGATCCAAGGCCAAGGAAGCCCAGCACCTTTTGGACCTGGCAAAGCTTTCAGGTCCTGAGTCTGTCCAGCAGCCATTCGGACAGCATGCACTTGTGCAGATGGCTGCCTTTTCTAACTAACTACATAAGAGAGGGCGCCTACAACTATACCTGCTAGAATGAGTAGATGCTTCAGGGTGGAAGTCGTTTCCGTGTATCGCTTGGGGAGTGGAGAGTCGGAGCTTAGGATGAAGAGTGCCATTGATCAAGGAGTCGGCCTCAGTTGAACCACAATTCATTCCCTCCCACCACGGAGCACAGACATTGTGGAATTAGAACGAATAAGATGTTGCACCAGGTCTTGGAGTCTTGTGACCTGTATCAGTTGAAGTCAGTTAAGCACTCTCAAACGGCCTTGTGAGACGAGACTCAAAGTCTAGTCACACTATGTCACTCTAGTCTACACCGATGTCCCTCTTTGATGGCATTGGCCATGTTTCAGGGGCCGAAATAGGTGAATGTTTGTGGATTTCTGCAAGCGACCCAGGCCTGGAAGCACTGAACCATGAGGCGGCCACTTGGGCAGGAATACAAAGAGGATCAAAGAGGAACATTGCAGAGGGCAAGATTATATATTGGTGTGCATTAGATTGGGGAGACCTCCAAAGCCCCTAGAAGACCAGCCTACCCATTAGGCCAAGGTGTGTGCCTATTAAAGTATATCAAAATACATACCCATATTTGGACCTTCCTGTGGCACATGACTCACTCCGAGGATTTGCACCCACTGGAGTTCAAACAGTCTCTCCGAGAGCTGGAAATGATTGAGGCAATGACCAAGGCGGTGGCTAGTAGATCGTGCAGTTGGCGAGTTTGCTTACACCTTTTTCATCCTTTTTTCCAGCCACTTCGTCAGGTTGCAATGTGCATTTGCCTTTTGCGTGGTCACGTCTTTGAGGTTGGTTTTCCCATCAGGCTCAATCCATGCCTTGGTGGGCCTTCTGCGGGCCCGAGACTAGCATGCTTCCACGCAAAGATCTTGCAACCTTCCTGTGATGCGAGAGGAAAAAGGATAAGACTGTATACAACTTCCCTGTGACATCCTGCAAAGCAGAGGAACTAAGTGCCCAACTCCGACAACTACTTGGCTGAGCGTCGTCCCAAGGGGGTTCCCAGTGGTCTTGTGTTCTTGCTTTAGATCGTTAGGTTGCGACACGATGATCGCCGCAGCAAGAGCTTAAGCTGCTCAGTGTACTTATAGTGACTAGGTGTGTCCTTTCGATCACTGCAGATTACGCATTCACAACTTTCAAGCATTGCAGCACTCCACAAACAAGGGACGTTGCTCCGCTTAGCACCGCTTACAGCATCTTACAGCAGCGCATAATGACGGCACAAGCTCCGCTGCTGGGAGATTCAGCTACGTGTTGTGACAGGGACTGTCGGAAATGGATCAAGTGGAGGGTGATGGTACTAATACCAACCGGCTCGCATGGAAATGCTTGTGTTCAGTTCTGCTGGCATTTGAGATGGCGGTCTACTTTGTGTGGGTCAAGACCTCGGTTGTTTTGTGTGTCATCGGTGGTGTGTTCTTGATCAAGGCATTGATCGAGATCTGGGGGCAAGAGACAGCCACATGGGTTTGCCCGGCTACCGTGTTCATGCTCGTCGTAGTCTACGGGCCTGTGTGGCCCTCAATTTTCTGCATGTTCGGTTACTGCACTCAGAGCTCAGACATCCAGTTCCTGGGCCGAGACGAACTGGGCTTGGCCCTCTACTTGGGTGGCTCCTTCTACTCCTTGGCCTATGAAGTTGGCCGCTTCCGTTGGAAAGCCAGACCTGAAAACAAGGGCAAGCTACACACAGTTGGCCTGGCCTCCTGGTGCATTCACCCCAACTACTTTGGAGACCTTTTCACTTACACTGGCTGGGGACTTGCGGCAGGCACTACCTGCGCTGTGAGTGTTCCTGTCCTCATGTTTTTTACCTTTGTCCTCGTGGTAGTGCCCAACTCCGACAACTACTTGTCTCAGCGTTATCCCAAGGAGTTCCCAGCATATGCCGCACACACAGCCACGCTCATTCCTGGCTTGCACTCCAAAGTGCTGAGTCAAGTGCTGGCCTGGCTTTGCTTGCTGCTTTGCATTTACTCTTGGTGCTTCAGATGCCCAGGGCCCTGTGGCTACTAGGCCGGTCGCCTCCCGGGAGAAGGCCCTGCTTTTCCGATTTTTCGAGTTAGACTGCGAGGAATGAGTGGGTTCTCTCCCCTCACCTCCCTAGACCCATCATTTGAGATGAAAAAAGGATGAACAGACGACGGCAAGCGGGACGAAGTGCTGAGAGCAGCGGACGATGATAGACCTGACTATAGACCTGAATAAATTGAGAGCCTGGTTTGGGACATGAGGAGAATAAATTCCTTTAGTATCCTTTAGTGACGGATATTTTTGTTGCTTGATGGAGTGGGCCTGACATGCTTCCAGCTTCATGACAATGAGAAAGACCATATTAGCCAACAAATTCCACTTATAAGCTTTTCTAGTCACTAGATGTCACTAGTAAGTTTTCCTTTTACCTAATGAAATTGAGGCAACACAACGCAACCATGCAGTCCTGCTTAATAGACACTCTGAACTCTGGAGGTTGGCGACAAACAACATGTATTTGTGTGTGTGTACCATGTAGGTACACATGTATATATATATAGTTTACCGTACATAATATTCATAATATTGTATAGTGTGTATATATGTGACTGTGTGCGTGTGTGTGCTTGGACCGCTGCTTTTTGGGCTCCTTTGCATAGATGGTATGTAGGAGGCGCTAAAGTTAGTTCCATACCAAGAGGGAAGAGCGCCAAATTTGTCCTTTGAGGCAAACCTAGGATATGAATAAGGACGGAGTCGGACGGAGTGATGATTTCAAGCACCAACCCGCCCACATGTGCAAGACCTGACTGCGTGAACTTCGTTTGAGTTTGAAAGCCATGGATGACAACAGTGCTGCGGATGCATTACTGAGTCTTGACTTCAAATATTTACGGAAACCGGCGCTGATACTTGGTTCACCGGAAGGGCAGAGCACCAACTGCCTTCCTTTGTCCCATTCACTGTGTAAAGTCCAGATGCAACCCTCCTTGGATTCACAGGGTTGAAGTCGTTCGCCATTGGCCTAATCTCAACAACAATTTTGCAAATGAGATCTCATCAGTGGCTTTGCTTGTTGGAATTGCACAGGACACCAAAGCAAGATGGCAAATCGCGCAGCGAGGAAGAGGATGAGGAACACGACACAAAGGGCCAAGCAACTAAGTCGGCAGATGTTGAAGAAAACTTCAGACCATGTGGACGCCTTTAGCTTAGGATGTTGGCACCAGACAAAACAGTGGGTGCAGCTCTAGCTTGTGACATTTGGTGGTTTGTTGTGCAAATGACCTTCGTTCAGTGAGGATGGTTGTGTTAGATAGCCAGTTTTGCCTCCAGAGGGCTTCAGAACCTATTTTTACTTGGTTTGTTTTTTTTACAATTCCATTGTGGTTCTGAGTAGGCTACACGTGCTCAAAGAAACTTGAAAGCAAGCTCTCTGAGGCAGGTCACCTGAGGGTCCTCAACTACATCCCACTTAGTCTCATCTACGACTAGAGAGCCCCAACCATGACTACTAATTGTTTGTTTCCTTTCTGCCATTTTGGAGCTCCTGGTGAATCAAGTTGCCTTGCCTGTCACTGACACGCAGTTGACAAGGTTTCCGCATCGGGCAAAGCCGCCTAAACTAGCAACGGTTCTATCCCTCTCTCAAGCTGAGGGGCCGGATGATGAATTGGTATAACGGGATCAAACCCATGATATGGGACAAGTGGAATAACATTTCAAGTGAGGGAATGGCTTTCCCGTGCGGCAAGAGCAGACATCTATATACTTATGTTTTTTGTTGACTGAAATTACAGTCTCGGATTATGTTTCTGAGGTGCCACCAACTACGAAGAAACCCACCGATCGAGGCCGAGGCCAACAAGGGATAGCAGGGCAAAGACCGATAGATATGTCACAATGCTTGCCAAAGGCCGTTGCTGCCGACTTATGTATGCTTATGGATGACAGGCAGACCTTAGCAATTGCCAATTGCGTTGCCACACTTCCGAAGCAATACACACCTGTGAGTTTGCATCAAAGTGAATCAAACATGTGCGTTTCACATAAATTACACAATTGTCACGAGTTTGTTGGAACAAGGCATGAAATGATGTTTGCTGGATCAACTCGATTGCGATCAGGTTCGAAGCGCCCACCAACTCATGAAAGCGATCCTACAGTTAGCCCTACGACTGGGCGGGGTCGTGGCTTGGCATGAAGAATAGCTTCATACATGTTTGCCGCCGAAATCCATGTTTTTTACAACGTAAACGGGTGCGGTCAAAGGTCACAAGAAACATGAAAAATGTTTGGGCATGCAATTGGTACTCTAGACATATTCCTAGATTCAATTCTACAACGTGTCAGCTAGGAAAGCGTCAGACGCTCAGCTCTGACGCGGTGCCAGAGACGGAGGAGGCAAGCCAGTGGTCGGTTGTGAGTCTTTCAGTCGGGTGCTATCAGACAGAAATTGTTGAGACTTGATGACTTGTGCGTAATTAAGTCAGATAGAGTCGAAGATTTCCGGATGAAACACAGATTCCAAAACAGTTTTCAGTTAGGCAAAGGATCGCGAGATCCGGCGCTTGCAGCACCTTGGCAAAGTACAAGAGTATATGATATATGAGTCCAAAAGAATTTGCGTGGCCAAGACTGGTGCTAATCTTGGAGTGTGGAGACAACCCAGCCCACACGCATCTACGAGTCGAAGATTTTGCTTCGTGCCAGCGTTTGATCCCACACCGAGGCAAGAGTTGGCAGATCAAAAATCGCAGATGCAAAACCTGCATGTTCTTGCAAACAAAGGCCTGGCAAACTTGCTGAGAACACGCACGTAGCACTGCCAGAAAGAATGTCGAAAAAGGCTGAAACTAACAGGTTGATTTGGTATGAATTTCAATGTGTCAACGTGTTGGTGTGCGTGCATAATTGTGATCAATTGTATATATATATTATAACTATATGCACAATAACCTACTGTGTATATAAATATATATAATACTGGTCCTGCAATATATATGGGAGTTGATCGAACATTTATGTAAAACAGCCTTTCAGATGTTGTTAGAACCATCCGCGAAAGATTCGCGATGAGGTTCGCGAAAGTACCTTTTTTTCCGCGCAAGATTTATCGAAGGTTTTCATATGTTTTCCTTTCTACCAGACTGACCAAGAATAGGAATACAAGGCAATCCTCCGGCAGAGCCGATGGGCAGAAGTGTCCCCATATGTCACAGACTAACGAACTGAAGCCTCAACATTTCCGTGCCCAGTCCTGGCAGTACGTAAAGGATTCTCCGAATTCTCCGATTCCTGCAGCTGCTTTGACGGGCTGTGCAGATGTTTGCAAAAGTTACGGCTTCCCGGGGGAGGCATCAGTGAAATGTTGCGAATGATCCGGTAAAAGTTTCGCGAATGCGCCGCTAAAGTCCAGGTTCCCAGCTTGAGGCCCCCCAACTTTTACTAAGCTGCATCACTATGTGTGGGTAGCTGGCACGAGGATTGGGTTGAGTTGTGCCTGATGCTATTTGGCACAACTGTCGCACAGATGCCGCATGTGACCTTGAGTAGCTGTGGAAACGTTCAAGTTTCTACTGGGGTCATGCTGCAAGACGTCCGTCCCTTTTTTGTGATACTATGACATGTTCCGGCTCATGGTAACTAGACATGGTTGTGGAACCATGCTTCGCGATGAGGCCGCGAAAGATATTTTTCCACGAAGAATGGCCATTCCAAGGTGAAAGAATATTGATCTACCACCACTTATGCGGATATCCATTATTTTCACACATGTGCTTCTCAAAAATGTTTTAATGAAGTGCGACCCCAGCATGAAACACTGGCAGGGCGCACTTTGCTGGCTCAGAGCTTGGTCGACATTGCCAAGATCGAACGAGTGCCTTTAGCGTGTTGCATTATACACATCCAACTCATGCACTTTTCACATGCGTTTCTAGGCCATGTGTGCGTTCTATGGTTTGGAAGCCAACACGGGCCGATGAACCAAGGAAAAGGAGCGTACCCGCCTGTTCCATGAAGGAGTTCGAGCTGCTTGGCGTTGCTTATATACAGTATACTTCTTTTCGTCGTTGGATCCATTTTGCGGCCTTCGCTAGGTTGGCAAGTACAAGCCTTCCCTGGCCTTTGGGCAAGCTGATGGCTGGGAGGGTGGTACTGAAAAAGAGGCCATCGAACAGCTGAAAGCCAAGCTGAACCAGGAGCTTCTGCGCGCAACAGCTTTGCAATGCAAGGGTTAGTCCAGTTCTGTGGCAGTTTAGTGACCAGTTTGCAAGCGTAGTCGTAAGTTTAAGGAAAGGGTGCAGTAGACTAGTAGACTGGGCAGTTGCATCCCAGATTTGCAAGGAGAAAGTATCGGTGGAATTCGAACGCCGATCTCTTCAGAGGCAAATCAAGAAGGCAAATCGCCCGCAGAATCATGTTGTGTCATGTTGTGGATTAGTGGGTTTTGCTTGGGATGCGCAACTCTGACAAACCTACAGGTTTGTGCCCACCATCGCTGAGAGCTGCCAATTAAATTCCCAAGGTATACTCGGTATCTTAGCAACAAAATGACAAAATGGTTTTGATACTGAAATCATGTGCAAACCTCAGGTGTGGAGCAATGGTATACGCAGAGTTAGCTGTTGAACCCTGCCTTGTTTGTGTGCAGGCTGTTCTTTGTGCTGATGATCCAAGTCACAAGTGGTGCTGATACTTTTTCCTACTTCGCACAGAGCAAACACCCAGAACGTCCACAATTTGGAAGATTGGGCGGTGTGTAATTTTCAAGTGCAAGATGCTAGGAGTGTGCCGCCAACTGCAAACTGATGCTGTAAGGGCTGCCCTAAATGAGTACACTTCAAAAAGGAAAATTGAGGAGCGAGAGGCATTTGGGCATGGCAGCCTGCTACTGCCTTCAAAAGTAACCTTTTGTATCCTTTTTGTATATGCAGCTAACACCAATGAAGCCTCAGAATCGAGACAAGATTAGGCATGGCTGCCGCAAAAAGACTGGTCCGACTGCTGGAGCCAAATGATACTGGAATGATGCTTATATAGCTTGCTTTGTCACGATCCAACCTTGCTTTGGGCTTTCTGGTCTATGGCCATTGTGTGCCGCTCCCTTTCGTTTGTAAAGCAGGGGTCATTGCACTTTCCCCCTCAGGAAAAGGGTCCAAATCTGGTTTTCTTTGGAGGTTGCTTCCCTGCTGCTTAAAGCACCTAGGGAGTTGGAAGAACAAGAGGAGCTCCTTTTGCTCACCACAGCGCCACAGCGCGTTTGCGTGAGAAAGGACCATCGACCATCGAGCACCTATCGTGCGCAAGAGATACCGAAACCTCAAGGGTTCAACGAGAGCCCATTTTTTTTGTTTTCCTTTCTCCTCGAGGCCATCGAGCCGGACGACGGGGAAAAGGACGCCCAATCAAACCCTACGGAGGATCCAGATGACCCAACAGAGCTTCGAGAAGTGTGCAACCATCGCGCCGAATACATCAGGCGAAGCGGGAAACAGAGTCCAGACGACTTGGTTTCCAGATGACTTGGTGCAGAGTTTGGGATTTGCAGATGTTAGAAGATATATGTTGCAGATGTTATCCACGTTTTCTGAAGTAGAGCCTGTTTCCTAACATTGTCAGAGGATGGAATCACAAAGACGAAGACTCGTGCTGATTGTTGTTGTTTTTGCATGATGCTGCCTTTTGCAACTAGTAGAGTCTTTGAGTTCCACGCGTTCATTGCATGTTCAGGCGCGAAGAAGCAGCCCTCAAAGAGCGAGAAAACCGGTTGATGGCCGAATCAAGCTTAGTTGTGAAGCTGATCAATTGCTGTTCATCACAATCGTTCCATATCTCGGGGTCAGCTTCAGACCTTTCTACCGTCAAGACACATGCACTGTAGCACACTCTTGGTGAGAGGTTTTGGGTACTGCAGGATGCTTTCTTTTGCATTGTGGAACTGCAGCCAAGGACAGGACGCTCTATCAAAAGCAAGTGCTGCTGGCCAGCACTGAAGACCGTTCCCGCTTTAGATTTTATCCCAGACTAAAGGACTGCTAACATTGGCCGCAGAAAGCCCAGACATGAGATGTGACACATGACATGAGATTGTCCTGTGAGTTTTTTGCTTCGTGCGTTTCACAGGACAGATTTCAACTGCTCAATGCGATTGGCAAAGGAGGCTTTAGCGAAATCTACAAGGCGTTTGATTTAGAGCAGATGTGTGGCCAAGCTTCTTCCAGTCGAATATATATTTTATCATTGTTAGGGTTTTTTGTGTGTGTTTTTGCTTGCTCTTGATTGACCCCCTCGGCCTCCCCAGCATTTTAGAAAGTGCCATGGGGGTACAGGTCCAATGTTGATTTGCACTTGATTAGACTAAGGCATGTGCGCCATCAAGATTCAGGAAATTGAAGCAAAGATGTCAGATGCACAGCGGCAGGATTTGGTGAGATGGGCCCTTAGGGAATGCGAAATACAGAAAAGTTTGCGGCATCCTCGTACCGTGGTTGCACGGTCTTGCGCGTGCGTAAGCGTGGCATCGTTGCTGGCACAGCCCGCGCATGGACTTGGAACATGCGTATCGATGTCCAACAGACCTGTATCGATCTACAGTCTAAAGGATTCTGCCAGCTGTTTAAAGGAAACTAAAAAACTCTAATATATGCATATATATATGATATATGATATAGTATGTCCATACATTCAAGCCTCGTTTTGTCAGCATTAGGCGCTTCGCGTTGGCATTCCCATTAGCCTTTGTCCCTTTTTGCAAGGCATTGTACAGCTACGCGAGTGCTTCGCTTTGGACATTAATGCCTTCGTCATCGTCCTGGAGCTATGTCAGGGAGAGACACTGGATATGAGACTCAAGATGCATGGGCCCATGCCTGAGAAGGAGGCCAAGGCCATTACGGTCCAGATCCTGCCTCCCGGCAACAAGCCCTTTCCAAATCTTCAGAGCAGTGTGCTTTGCTTACGGATCCCAAGTTTCCACACAATATCACAGGAATGCACAGTTGGCAGCCTGGCTTGTCCCAGTATACTCAGGAGTGGCCTGCGGCACTTGAACGTCTCTGGTCGGAAGATCATCCACTATGACATCAAACCATCAAATGTGTTTTATGATGCTGGACAGGCTTTGCAAACGTGTGAGAAGTGGGAAAGGCAGAAGAGTCTACCTGCTTAAAGGACTGTGACTTTGCCCACCACACCAAGCTAATCAGATATCCTTGGAAGTCAAGAAGGTTTCATGACATTCAACTTTAATACTGATTCATATTGTCCTGCACAGTTTTCCTGTTCAATGACGCCCGAGCTGATTCGGTTGCAGCGGACGTCAACCCGGATACGTGACACGACGCAGGTGAAAATTGGAGATTTCGGCCTCTCAAAGATGGCAGACAGTCAGAAACCCATGACATGAAGTCAGACGGACCAACATGTTTCCTCAGTATGTCACCACAAAAAGGGGATGTAAGGGTACATCCCTTGTCTTCAAGAAACTCAACTCAGTTGATTGACACCGGACTACTATGGCCTACTATGACATGATAGACACTACTATGGTTTACTTGCGTAAACATGTGGCCCAGCCCTGCCCTCGATCCAACGCGACGACTGCCCAGGTCCAGAGGGCATGATCGATTTATCGACGCGCGGAGCCGGAACATCCTGGTGCGGTCCGGCGTCCGGTTCGGCTCGACGACATGAAAGCCTTGGCTCTTGGTTTGCAAGGGGCTTTTCGACGAATAAGTCAATGGAACATCTGGAAAGTCTAAAACCTTATATATATATATAAACTTATTGTGTTTTGCATATACAGCGCGAGATCTTTACATATACTGTATATATATAATTTACTTTACCCGTGGATTTCCTCTGAGATACTGCGATTATTGCAAGATCCAAGTTTTATTCATTGCCAGTATAGATGCTTGGATGCAGGTACTTGCCACCGGAATGTCATGAATCCGCATCGCCCACAATAAACAGCAGTTTGGCTGCACTGGGCGCACGGATGTGCAAAGGAAGTTTAGCAAAACTCCTGTGCATCTTCAGCAACAACAGTCGTGGAAATCAAATTAGCAGAAATCAAACGCAAGAGCACGAGCCTTCAGAGCAATTCCAATTTGTCCTTCACTGCACGGTTCTTTGCTTGCTCCAAGGCAAAGTCGATGTCCATTTCTCAGTTGTCTCAGCTACGTCTACGTCCTTTTTTGTCAAGCCTCAAGCCACTGATTTTTTTGTGCCTTAGGTCTGGAGCACAGGGGTGGTCTTTTTTGTGCCTTGGCACAAGGATATTGTTGAAAGCAAAGCCACACAGGTTTGTATGCAGACATTAGATTTACAATAGTATAGAGCGAACTATGTATAGTCTAACAGCGTGTATTCACGTTGATTTAATCTTCAAGCGGCTGTTTACCGCATGAATCATGACAGGATCATAGTCTTTTAGAATGACAGCTGCATCCTGGCCGCTACACGTGGCTCCAGGTTTCTTTTTTTCTTGGTGTGATGCATTCTTGGCCAGTGGTGTGGCCAGGATGAGCTTGCACACTACGCAGGAGTGGGCGCAAAGCGCCCAAGTAAACATGCATCAAGCACAAGCTGCACACAGGAGGGCAATCGATCAACAAGATCGCTCCAGCAAGGTGCATGAAGAGGTGATGTCCAGCAGTTTGTGCACTTTGCCAGCTTTAGACCGGACCTTCTTTCGTTTGTTTGCAAGTCCCACACTGTTGTGCACTTAGTTGGGATGTATGCATGTAGCAAATGATACATTGTAGTAGCCGAGGTATGTATGGCGAGCTGCACTCTTCCTTGGAAAAGAAGGTGAAGATTTCCCAGCGGATTTTGGAGAAGCTCCATCATCGTGCGCAATCAGTGGAGAATTCCTTGCAGCATACAAGGCAGAGCTTGGTAAAGGTAGAGGAAGCTTTAGAAATGAAAGAGGCACCACTCACTCTGTGCACCTGGAGAATGGAGCAGCGAGAACGGAGACCTTTGAGAGAGCAGGTGCGTGACACGGCAGAGGTGTGTCTTGAGCTGGAGAAGGCTACAATAGTCGATGCCCAGAGGAAGCTTAAAGATTTTATGAAGAGAACGAGGGCAACAATTCAGACCCTGGAAGCTAAGCTTGATGAGCTTCGCCATGACATCCAGCAGAAGACGCAAGCATTGTCTGTGGATGAACTTTGTTTGCGGACCACCTCCAGAAGTCTTGAAGCTGTGTCGAAAGACAGTCCTAGTCCAAATCCACAGATAGACTCGAGAAGTAGCCGTGCGAAGCACAAGCATACAGGAACCCAAGTGTCAAGGCTTGAAGCTTCTTCACATGAAAGTTCTCGTAATGAGGTTCTTCGACAGCAAGCAGCCGTGCGATTGAACCAATCAGCTGTAAGCCGGGAGTTGGCGGCAAAGGAGCTTCGAGAAGAGGCACAGAAGCTGATCCAGTACACTGCAAAGGCTGTTGAGGAAGCCGTTGCCAAGACAGAGAAATCCATGAAGGAGCGAGTAAATGCAAACCAGCAGATGAGGAGGCGCTTGGAGACAGAGCTTCGAGAGACTTGCAGTCAAATTGATGTGACCAAAAGCACGATCCAAGACACCAAGACGCAGATTCGTTCCTTGGAAGAGCCGATGGAATTGATTTCAACTTGCGCGTCCTGGCGCAAACAACGGGTTGGCAAAGAGCAAACTCTTGATCCTGTGACCACCACACTGCAGGAACGTCAGATGATGCTCTTGAGGTGTCATGAGGACCTGAGGCAGCACCAGCACAATGAGAAGAATGTTCTGCAAGAGATCCTCAGTTGAACGCAAGAGAGTTGTGCTATGTTGTGCTCAAATGTATTATTGTTACAATGTGCTTCGAATCTCAACATGTTCACAACAATACATTCCGGGTCACCAACATGGAAGTCAGATACGCCTTCTGACTTGTTGTGAAGCAATCGCTAGTCTTTGGCCCCTGCATCATGCTGCACCCCTCCTTGATTTTATCCAGCATCGGTGCTTGCACCGCTGAGACGCCAGCCGCAACAAGTTGAGTTGGTCACCGACTTGTTCAACCGGCTCTGGTCAAGAAGGGCACATGGTAATTTCCAAGCAGGTGTAGAATGTAGAAGTGTTAACATGCGTTCGCCAAATGAGTTTTTCCTTACTTTCGCAAGGGAGGAAAGCCTTCAAAAACCTGAAGCCAACACAGTGATCCCCCTGTTCACCCATCCTACCCCCGGTCATCCCTCCACCTCGTCGGTGGCATTCACCTCTTTGAGTAGGGCATCGAGAAATGGCCACTGCAAGATAATGGTAGCCTGGCGTTGCGGTTTGGCATCGTTGTGCAATTTCGACGGAAATCCCATGGTGACGCACTTTGCAACCGATCCATGGCCTTTGCGCAACCCGCAACCCACGTGAATATGAGCAGCTGAGGCTGGTGGAGAAGAGGGAGCAGCTGAAAGAGGATCTTCAAGACAAGACCTCCGCTTTGCATATCGACCTCAACTGCGTCACCCATGAGGCCATCAATGGTAAGCCGAAGCCGGGTCTCAACCGCCAGCGTTTGCCAAAGGCCATGAAAATGGATCCCACCTTCTTGCCCGGCGTGCAAATGCCGCTCACGGCTCGATGAGCCTTCACCCAACGGCAAGGTTCACCGGGGTGGGGCTGCAGAGCTACATGTGTTCCAGAAGTTGCTGCAACAAATTGAAAATCAAGAGCGAACATTGCAAGCTGTCCGTACATATCGTATATATATTTGTGCCTGTTGTGCATTCATCTACCAAAGCTGTTTGCTCCCAGCCCTGACGTGAGTAGTATACAAGTGGAGGTCTTTTTTGCTCCCGACAAAGTCGCAGGAGCCGTGCCGACCACTGTGGTGGGAGATGAAAAAGAGATGATGAGAAGAGACGAAGGAAAACACACTACTCGTACTTACTAGTAGCGATGCCCTTGTTACTAGTAATGTAGCGATGCCGATGCCCTTGTTCCTAGTAGCTTCTAACTTGTTGAGAAGAGACATTGTTACATTTGTTGACTTAGGATGACCAGCTTTGTAATCTGTGTTTGTGGTTGCCCTGGCTGCAGCCAGAGTTTCCAAGGAAATGCTTTACAACCGTCGTCCCTTCGGCGAGGGCCAGACACAGGACGCATTCCGGCGTCAGACGGCGGTGGAAGGCACCTTCGATTTGGTGGCTTGTCTCGGTTCAGCTTCTCATCGACCTTGGAGGGATGAGTTTGGGTGAAAGCAGGCAGTGCTTTCGAGGGGCCAGAAATGGGTCTTCTTGGCTCCAATAGGGCGGGGATGTACTATGATGTACTGGGCAGAATTTTGTTGGATTACCATTCTACATCATGACAAAGATTCAATCTTCCTACACTTCTCCTCGTGTGGTTCCCCCCCCTCCCTTCTTTTGGTTGGATATTTGGCTGAACCAACTTTAAACAGGAATTTGCCGCCAGCAAAGGCTCCCCAAAATGATGCCAGGCTATTCCAGGTCGGCAGGTGCTTGCTTTGGCTGATGAGAGCCAAGGTCTTTCCAACATCGCCCAAGGTTTCCTCAGAAGCCATCAAGTTCCTGCGAGCCTTGGCAGAGTACAGTTGTTTTAAGCAGAGGCAGATCCCTTTTGCGAGAATAGTTTGAAGCTGAGCTGCTGCTGTTGTTTGGCACTGGTGTGAAAACAATTATTGTGCTAGCTTCTAGCTGCCCGTCTTTGTGAGCAAGGATTGACCGTGATTGACATGTAGCCAGTCTTGCCAACTTCGTCATACCCAGTTCCTGACAGGCAAGCTTCTGACTCGAGACCGAGAGCAGAGGCCAGATGTACTGGAAGCCCTTCGGGATCCCTACATTCGCAAATCTTGGAATGATCAGTCTGCACGTAGTCGCAAGTCGGACCTGACGAGCCCCAAAGTCTCCGCAACGTGACCTTGAACGACTAGGTCAGAGGCCCTGGGTCATTGGCGAAGTCCTCCCCCAAAAAAGGTAAATGAATGTTTGGAGACTTTGGCCGTTGCGTGCGTCTCTTCCCAGGGTCCCTGCACTTCAAAAGGGAACCACTTGCTGTGCGAGTCGTTTTCCAGTTTATATGGCAGAACACTTTGAAGGGACATCTTGGGTCTCCCGGCCAGGCTAGGAAGCGTCCTGCTGCAAACGGGTTCGATTGTCCCACCTTTTTCCGGGACCGAAGTCAGTGCTCAACAGAAAATCTGACAGAAGAAAGGGCTGAATGGCAAGCCATCAAATCTTGCGCCATCCGTTTTGCGCCAAGACGTCCCTTCATTTTCATATAGAATTCAATAGGGACATGTGCTTGCTAGCGGTCATCCGACACCAGCACTGCGCATGCCATAGATTTGGCTGCGGCCTTCTTCTGGTCCAATGCAGAGATGCCAACTTTGAACAACTTTGCAGAGATGTTCAATGCTCAATTTGTATGAGACAATCTAGTGACTGTGGAATGGCATGAATCTTCAGACATTGCATTTCAGCTTTTGGCCAACGCTTTTTTGTGGGAAAGTCCTACCCAAGTCCCGTGTTGGATTTGGTATGGCTACCATTGCTGTCTCCTTGCTTGGAGGTAGTGGGGTTGAAATCGGGTACTATCCCGATCGGGAATTACTGATTACCACGAATATGGAGTCAAATTGAAACAGGCTCAACCATTCCCCAAGGAATCGAAATATCTAGATTAATTGTGATTTATGTATTTCAAAAAATAAATTGAAGATATTATATATGTGTTGTCAAAATTGCATTGGACCCGCTGTGCGGGTATCGACTTTCCACCCGCAGACGAAGACGAATTACCCCCCGAAGACGAATTCCATTAAATTCCCATCGATCAAATCAAATGAAATTACTACTACCACGACGACCACGACCTCGACGGCGACGGCGACCACGACCACGACCACTACCACTACCACGACCACCACCACCACCACCACCACGACAACAACAACTGCTAATACCACTACTACTACCAGGACTACTACTACTACTACTACGACTACTACGACTACTACTCCTACTCCTATACTACTGGCTAACCAACTAACAACTCAGTCAAATTACTTTCTAACGAACCAACTGACTAACTAGCTAGCTAACTAATTAACTAGGTAAGCTAAACTTAATGAACTAGTCAACTAACTTAGCTATATCAACTAAGCTAACTAACTAACTGACTGACTGACTGACTGGCTAACTAGCTAACTAACCAACTGAGTAACACTAACTAACTAACTAACTAACTAACAAACTAACTAACTAACTAGGTAACTAACCAACTAACTAAGCAGACTAACTAACTTAGTTACGAACCTTCTTTAGGATCTCAAACTTGGAAGCTGAATAATATATCATCAAAGTTGTTGGAAACCTCAGTTTACCACCCTTTGTATAGCTCTACCTACTCCACACTTGTGATTAGACTTGCCGTGTCACATCTTCATCTTGGGTGTACCCCACTTTTGACTCAAGCGCTGTAAAAAGGACGCCACGGATATTCACTGGTGTTGGCTGTGCCCATTGAACTAACAGGATAACAGCCTCATCCGGATAGCTGGATTTCATATTTCGAGGATACCACTTGTTTGAACCCAGGTGTAGTCCTCACTACATAACCCCAATCGATTCCTTGTTGTCAGCGCACATATCGGGCTGAGTGTTCGTGCAAAGGTACTTCGATCAGTGAAGCACAAGAAGCCAAGCTTTCCCGCTGATGACTGTTTGGGCCTGGGTGGTCGTCTGCATCTCTGCAGCCCCATCCATTAGGGAACCTCCATAACTTGGTAAGTAAGGTGATCGCAGTCCCTGTTGAGCCTCTACTTGTACTCACACCTACACGCTTGGTCGTCTGCACCCCTGCAGCCCCAGGCATATAACTAACAACGAAGTAGGTTCTCAGTCCGGCATTTTGCTTGGTTGATCTCTTCTCCTTGCATAGCAGTAGAGTTCGTGACCCTGGGAATATACAGCGCAAGAGTGGGACATCTGACAGCAGGTTTTGGAACTCAAGCCCAGTTGGCAGAATTGCACAAAGAGAATGTGAAGAACTTACGGGGTTTGGAGAAGGTCAGTCAAGTCCACAAAGGTCTGACAGATTTGGCTTGGCAATTCCATAGTGGAAGCCGAGACTCCAAGTCGGAAATTGCATTATGCCACTGCGGCGTCCACCCTCTCCACCGACTCCTAGGGTCGGAAATTGCATTATGCCACTGCGGCGTCCACCCTCTCCACCGACTCCTAGGGAGCGGTGGACGCCGTCGGGAAGGTTTCCTTGACGCTCATCGTCGCAACATTGGAACTCGCAGGGGGGAAGACACGCGAGCGCCGAGACTCGTGCGATTCATCGCTGCATTTTCTCGGGTGATTGCTACGCTGTTTGCAAGCCCTGGGATTGACGCCTGGGTCTCCGGATCGCTCAAACCGATCAATAGCCGTTTAAAGACTATTTTTGGTTTGGAACTGGCCTGAGGATAAGATAGTGCTTCCTGGGTTGTGTAGTTGGGTGTTGGCAGAGGGCATTAATCAGCCCATTGAGATTGAGTCGGAGCCTGAAGTTGAGACAGTGGTGCCTCATTCGGAGGACGACGAGAGGCCTGCAGAAAGTGAGACTGTAGAGAATCCACTCGTTGCTCCGGAGTGATTGCGGGAACTGAGGGGGGAGCACGTCCTCTCCGCAAAGCTCAACGTCAGGTCCAGGCCAGCCCGGTGGCAATCATACAGATCATAGATCATTATAGATCCCATTGTTGCGAAGGGCCACTCCAGAAGTCGCTGAACCAAGTCAGTTGGGATCGCATCAACGCAGAGGAGTATCATCAAGGGCAGTGCGGTTGACGGACAAGCCCATCATCTGAATCGACTATTGCCAGGTGTTGGATCGGGTGAATTTGAGTAGAAGAAGTTGTCTCAGGAATCAGGGCGCTTAGCTTCATCCACGAGCGGTTCAGAGAAGTATCGGCTCATCATCTGTTCATATTGTCACGCAGCAGAGCTCGTGTTCGGGCCGCTTGTACTCCAGTGAGTGCAGCGCACTACGCGGCAATCTCGTCTTTGATTGGTCAGCGGGCGAGCGTGGAAGCTGTGAGTGCGTATCACATCGACGACTCTGATCAAGTCTTATTTGAACTGAGGGCATCTCGTCAGATTGAATCCTTGGGTCTCCGATTCACGTACAAACCAAGCCAAAGGTTTGCGCGCCAGGCGCCAGGTCGAATATTACAACAACGTGTTTTAGGCCTTGGAGTGGTTTGACGGCCGTGAAACGGCCTTGGGACAGGAAAAGCAGTCATCGTCGCGTGCTTGGCGCTGGTTGTTTGCATCAGTTGCAGGTCCGGGCACTTGCTATGGTTGGGTTAAGACTCAGATGGAGACATCTGTGACATTGTAAGTAGCAGGTAATGAATAGTATGTAATATAACATGTACCCGTGACCGCTTGATATGGTTTGATGCCTTGTGTTAGGTGAAAATTGAATGTCCGCTTCTTGTCTTAGGCTTACGTCATGTAAGGGGCGCCAAGGGCGATTTTGTGGCTGCAAGGACGCGCCATCAAGGAACGAGTCGTCAGAATGCGCTATTAGGGGGGAAGGCCTCGTTAATTACAAATGTGTCGTGAGGGAATGGTATCAAAATGTCGGAAATGCGCTCCGATTAATATAATAATGTATTTATATATATTTTGGCGGACGATCTATTAGGTAGATTTTGAATGATTTTTTATTATAGATATAATATAAGTTAATTATAAATTTATTGAGCAAAAAATTGTTTTTATATATATTTAGATTTGTTTAAATTGAAAAATTACAAATATATAGTATATTATAAATAATTCACGAAAGCTAGCGAAGCTAGCTGGAGTTACTCTTGCGATAGCAAGGTTTCTTTCGACCGGGTGCAAATCCTAACCCCTGATTTTTCAGGTCGAAGACCCCCCCCATCCCCCTCCCCCTTCCGCCTCTCCTCTCCTCCTCCCCTCTCCCTTCTCCCCTCTCCCTACCCTACCTCCCCTCTCCTCCTCCTTGTCTTCTTCCCACCTTCTCTCCTTCTTTCCCTCTTCCCTCTTCGCAAGTTCGACTCCGTCTTGTCGTTCTTTGGCATACGGTTAGCGTTGCGTATCTTCATCTCTCTCATTTCTTTTATTTCTCTTATCTCTCTCATCTCTCTTATCTCTTTTATCTCTTTTATCTTTTTTATCTCTTTTTCATCTCTCTTTCTTCGTTTTTTGTCTCTCGTCTTTCCGTCTCTTTTTTCTTTCTTCTCTCGCAGGAGGATCTAGGAAAAGAGCCATATATAAAGGACTCTTCACCCTTGCCTCCAAAAAGAGCGCCGTGTTTTTTTCTACCTCGCTGCTCTCCACTTTTTTATTCTGGAGCGTTAGCTTTCGCTCCTCCCTTGGCCTTAAGTTTTATTTATATTATACGTATATTAATTATTTTTATTTGGTTTCGTTATATATAAAGATTTAATATTATGGGATAATGAATTTTTAATAATATAATCTTTGGATATGTTTAAATATTTAATATGGTATTGTTAGGATTTATATACGATTTTTTGCATTTATATATATTGTAGCAACTCGAAAGATTTTTTGTTTTTTTTTTTTTGAAATGAAATATATTAATGGATTTCTTTCGTATTGAGGTCCATATATTGATTTTTAGCACTAGCGTCGTAGGTAGGGATGTTAGTTGGTTTCAATATCGAGTGGTGCTTATTGTGTATTATTTTGGAAATGAACCTGATAGTGGCTATTATTAATGTTTTTTTCTTAGCTCGCGAAGCTCCTGGTTGATTGATGGTACGACGACTATTAGGTGTTTAATAGCTGATCCAATCCGCCATTTAGCCCATTTGTTCTGGTTAGTTCCGCAAAATAATATGAATTTGTGGTGGCGGAAATCTATCGAGAACCCAATCGTCGACTTGTCCGACTTCGTGATTGTGGCTAGACGCTCTTGAAGCACCCGCGACTTAGTTATTATATTGCCTAACACGGGCTTAACCTCAATCAAGCTAGAAATAAAAATTAATGTTCTTAAAATTATATTTTATATAGTTATTTTAATATGGAAATTACAAATTTATATATAATTTAGTATAATAATTAATATATAATTTATAAAATTAGATGAAAAATATAATTTATATTTTATTTTTTATAAAACCCAATAATAATTAAATATATATTTTTTCTAATAAATAAAGAATTAAAATTTGTAAATTCGTAATATTTTGTTTTGTATTTTTATATCTTTAAATTTTGTTTTTCTTAAAATCGTAAAGATTTAAGATACGATATTTAAATTTATATAACAAAATTAATTAATAATTTAATTTATAAATAAATTTTTATAAAATATATTTTTTAATAACCTTATATTTAATACTAAAAATATTATATATTTAAGTAAAAAATAATTTATCAAATAAATATTATTTGTTTAAAAACATATATTTAAAAATTCATTCTATATATTAATTTTATATATTTTATTGCATTTAAAATATATTTATAATCCTAGATAATAATATATTTATTTGCAAATATTGGACATTGTCCCGGCCCACTAACAGTGAGCACAAAGATGGGTACCACCAAGCGCACGAGAAAATTGGACCCCAAAAGCGGGTTTCTAAATTTGAAAAGTCATCTACCTAAATTGAATAGTCCCATTATATGTTGGCAGCACCTTCTTCTCCTTCATACCTTTGCCACTGGTCCACTGCTTTGGTGCTCTACATGGCACACTCTTGTGCCCAAGCCAACAAAGCCTTGTAAGGCTGCGCGCCCTGGTCTTCTCCAAGCCTTTCTTGAACCTGGGTTGGGGCTGGCTTGCTCTGGGGAGGTCCGCTAGCAAAGTAAAAGTCCGGCTAGGGCTGGGCCTGGGGCTGGCTGGGCTGGGCTGGTTTGCTCTGGGAGGTCCACTAGCAAAGTAAATGTCCGGCTAGGGCTGGGCCTGGGGCTGCCTGGGCTGGGGCTGGCTGGGCCGGGGCTGGCTTGCTTTGGGGCTGGCGGCTGGGGCCAACTACAGTAAATGTCCGGCTGGGGCTGCGGCTGCCCGAGCCCGGCTAAATCCGGGGCTGGCCGATCAAATTTTGGCTCCGGAGTTGTGCTTTTCTGGTGCTCCTCCAGGCTCCGGAATTGTGCTTTTCCGGCGCCAAAAAGCACGAGAAAAAGCACGAGAAAAGGCACGAGAAAAGGCACCAAAAAAGCACAAGAAAAGGCACCAAAAAAGCACGAGAAAAGGCACCAAAAAAGCACGAGAAAAGACACCAAAAAAGCACGAGAAAAAGCACGGAAAAAGCACCAAAAAAACACGAGAAAAGGCACCAAAAAAGGCACGAGAAAAGGCACCAAAAAAGCACGACAAAAGGCACGAGAAAAAGCATGGGAAAAGCACCAAAAAAGCACGAGATTGCAGATCAGGATCGGGCTTCCCAAGCTTGTATTTGAACAAAAGCACGGGAAAACCACGAGAAAAGCCACCAAAAAGCACGAGAAAAGGCACCAAAAAAACACGAGAAAAAGCACGAGAAAAAAACACCAAAAAAGCACGACGAAAATCACCAAAAAAACACGAGAAAAGGCACCAAAAAAGCACAAGAAAAGGCACCAAAAAAGCACGAAAAAAGCACGAGAAAAAGCACCAAAAAAGCACGGAAAAAGCACCAAAAAAGCACGAGAAAACGCACGAGATTTTAAAAGCGGGATTAGTGCTCCGAAGATAATTCCCGCGGAAAGGGTAAATCAAAACACCGGTGGTCCTAGGATTCCGGGAGTAGCCCTAGGGGACGGGATTAGGGGAGACATGCCCATACAATCCATGCATATAATACAATATAAATTAAGGATATTAGTGGTATTAGTATATAATATATTCATAACTTTTGGATATACTAATCTAGTAGTATATAGTAATAATAGTAATAAATATAACCCAATGCAATGTAACTCAACATCAAGTTAGTAAAAGACTAAGAATAAATAAGATAAAAAAGCCTTCGAAAGTGAATGAAATAAAAAAAATAAAATAATAAAATTCTAAACCTTCAAATTTCAAATTACAATTAAAAATAATACCTTGTTAAAGTGACCTAATTTCAATTTAAGATTTTTAATATTTTTTCTTTTAATAAGTTTAATAAAAAAGCATTTTACGACTATTAATAGGGAGAAATAAAGTCCAATACAAATATCAATTATTTTAAATATAATTTATTCAAATAATTTATATTTATTAATTAAATACTATTATCAAAATAATAAGTTAAATTATAAAATTTTAAATTAAAAACCATAATTATTTAGTTCGATATCAATCCTTTTAAAATAATTTTATTTTAAATTTCTTTACATAATGTTCAATAAAATCATTACAATAAAATTTCGTATAAAAAAGGATTTTAGATTTATAGGTAAAGAAAAATTCGCAATTTCTTGCAGCTTCTCACAGCTTCCTGCAACTTCGCCGCTGCGGTCGCTTTTTCGCAGCTTCGCAGTCCCAATCGTATTGTTTTCTTAACCTAGACATATTTGCAAGTAAATTCAAAATTACATATTACCTGAGAAGGGAGGGGACGAAAGCCAGCCTCCGTAAGAAAACATAGCAATGGGGAAATAATAGGCAGAGGTAGAAAGTCGCAGTAAAGGCAAATATAATAGGTTCTCATCCGCAAATGAGGGAGTGGGGACGTCGACATTACAATGACGCTACTGCTGTTGGACATTGAAAGCAGAATACATAAGTGTGAGGGGGGGGGTTTTTTTTCCCCGGTTCAGGGCGCTTTGAAGCTGAAAAAAGAGTACCCCTAAGGAACTCAAGGGCGCTTGCCCGCAGTTTGTTATTCGTGTCCTGTAGATGGACTCAAAGACTTGGCGGGCAAGATCAAGTGATTGGCTAACATCGGGCAAAGAATACCAGAATACCTTTGTTATGGGGTGAAATCGACATTGCAGGCACGCCAACAGGGGGTAGAAATAGAAAGCAGGATGCATAGGTTTGGGGGGGGGGGGTGTCCTTTTTTCCACCGTTTCAAGGCTGTTTTCAAGCTGAAAAAGGGCACCCGTAAGGAACTGAGGGGCGCTTGCCTGCTGCGTGTTATTTTTGTCTTGTAGATGGAGTCATAAACTCGCGTCGCCAAGAGCGAATTCTACCGCAAAGATCATAATCGCGCGATTTCCAAACAGTGGGCAAACATTGCTATGGGGCGCCCATGGGCGAGGCTATCGGCTGGCTTTCGTAAGGATATACATACTAATATATATAAATAAATATATATTCATACATAGACATATAAACGTATATATATATATATTCTACACGATAGACGGCAATGTCTATAGAGGGTGAATGCGAGATCCCTCGTGCTCGCCTCCTCTTTTCCTATCACAACCTCCCCCGCTATGCCCATCCTGCACATGAACTCCCACATATGCGCCCTTTACGTCTGGTCAACAGGCCTCTTCACAAAAAACAAGGGGCACCCCCAAGCAACTCAAAGCTTGCCCGCTGCATCTGTTCTCTCTCCTGCCCTCAACGGCCCGCATCAACTCGCACCCCATATGTGGTGCCCTTTTGCGTATGGTTCGGGACGTCTTCATGATATAAAATAGGCGCGCCCAAGAATTTCAACGATTTCTTGCAAGCAGTGTTTGCCCACCACGTCCTCCTCCGCGTTTGCCACATGAACTCCCACCCCATATTGGGTTGCCCTTTTGCGTATGGTTGGCAGGCGTCTTCACCATTAAAAAAAGGGCCCCCCCAAGATTTCTTGCAGACCCTCTTTTCTTACCACGTCCTCCTCCGCTCTGACTGTCTTCCACCTTCCCCACAGCATTCTGTTCCCTCTCCTGCCCTCACAGATCACACAGTGTCTTAAGAGACACCCACCTCCCTGTCACCCACACTACTTCAATTGCCACTGGAAAGGTCCACCCACTTTTCGTGTCCCGTTGCCTCCTCTCTCCTATCATCGACGTGAACTCCCCCTGGTAGAAAACTGTTTAGAATGCCTCCTGAGCCCCTCATGATGCTACTGCTAATGATGCACTAATGGCCGTCAATCCTGCATCACAACACCCCCAAAACCACTCCCACACTGCAAATACTTTTCTTCGCTCTACCCCACCAGGCTCTGGGTTCGCCTTCCGAAATTGGCCTCTGTGCGACCACCCCCCCCCACATCCTCTAATACTCACTTCGTTCGCCCATCCCAACTCCAGCCTAGCCTATCGGCTGGCTTTCGTGATTAAATTCAAGTTTAGTTATTCCTTCCATTAGTTGTGCTTCAATGTCATTCCAACCTCTTTGATATCATTGTGCATGCATGATTTAGTTTGTAAATATCATTGTGAATGCATTCCATAAATCAAAATAACAAGTAAGCTCTGAACGTCCACCGAGAGGAAATTTCATGTAGGGTAAACCAGCCTCCGTGGCTCTGCATTATGGCCAAAAAAGCAAACAGCTTGAGGTAGAAAATTGTGAATTGTCAAACTGAGGGATAGTCTGTCTTGAGCTGGTCCATGAACTTCTGATTGGTTGTTGGTTCCTCAGGGTGGGTGCAACAAAGACATTCCATGTTCTTGCACTCTTAGTTTCCGGTGAAGGCGTCCTCCTTCTCATGGCCTAGTGTGAAGTCATCCACCAGTATGGACTGGGTGGAAAGGTGCGCAACCTGTAAGCAACAAGGAAAGCTTGCCGATTCTCTTTGGTTTCAGCCTTCCTGCTTGGACTTTTGTGACAGCCAAGTAATCCAAAATGAATCCTTCAACAAGGAAAGCCGGGCAAGGTCTTCTAACGATCATATTAAATAGCAACACCAACAAGACGTGCACCTTGGCTTCAGGTCCATCAACCACAAGGAGCTCGTCATACTCGAACCCGTTAAGGTCTAGCCACGTCTGAGTGACATTGAAAGGGTCCTGCAGAAATTGCGTATGGTTTCATATGGTTTCTGTCTCAATATCTCTGGTTCAGTCAGTCCTCATATGAACCTCGTGCCGTCAAGAAGCGGATGAAGTAGTCTGTCCGTAGCCTCAAGAGTTCGAAACCCTAAAGCAGAGTTTTTGTGCGCACTCTGTTAATTCTGTGGGTGTCCATCTGCTCTTCTTGATCTTGCAAGTCAAAGCTTTTGGAAGCTAGTTGTGTCTGCTATGCAAGTCATGCCTGCGAAGGGCGTCTGCGGCTCCAGGAACTGGCTTGTCTTGTATCACCTGCAAATAGATTCACAATTCTGTTCTGCACAAATAGCACACCTGCAAGTTCTGCTGAGTTCTCGAATATCAATGAATCTATGTCATCTAAGTTTAATGAAATCGAAGCTCCTGGACCGGACCTGTTGCTGAGAGGCAAAATGACAGGGATGTGATGTGACCATGGGCTCTTAAACTAAAAGAACCTGGCGCTGGTTCTATTGTATGACCCGGGTGATATTTAAAAAACAAAAGATCTTGGTTGCATGATGGTTGCGCAGAAGAACGATGCGCATGTGCATGTGCCCCACCTCTGCAGCGGTGTATGCTTTTTTGCTTCCCTGCCACCGCCTCACCGAGATGCCGAACACGTCAACGTTGCGGCAAGCGATGTTCACACGGCCAGTGAATTGAGGCCGTTCATAAAGGAAAAGGAGAAGAAAGTGAACAGGACATGTGACGTTCGTAGCTTCTTGCTACTAGTAGCGATGCACTTGTTACTACTGGCGATGCCCCTGCTACTAGTAGCTTCTTGCTACTACCATCGTGAACAGGACAAATAATGACAAAGAATGACAAAGGAGAACCGACTTTTCACTGGAATGACACGCCTCACACGCTCCATCGAAAGTGACACAACCTGAGGGCCAAGCGAATTGGGCCCTGGGTCTTCTTAAGAGTGGTCTCAAGGTCGTGGGAAACTTAAATGTTGTGCTGCCAAAGAAGACTGCAGTGTCACAAGCGATTCCAATCCATTGATGCTGCGAGTTGCAAGTTGCGTTTTGGGAGAGAGTCACAAAAAGAAACACATATCAGTATCATCGGCATTTGATCTGTGGCTTTTGGTTCAGAAAACTGTGGATAGCGAATGCATCCAAAGAAGATTGAAGAACTAGACACTTTAGATGATACATCTGCCAAATTACAGTAATGGCCAACGACTCGGTCTAGAGCATTGTCAATGTCAACGAAGAGATCTTTGCGCTCAAGACGATACCTGGCAGAGTTAGCACATTTTTGCGCAAAGTCTCTGGTAAAGAGGATGTCAGTGACAAAACAGATTTTCAGCCGATTCAAAAACGGATTGGAATGTGAGCACCGCCTGCCTAATTAAAGAAATTCGAAACCAATGGAGTCGGCAGAAGACCGATCACCGCAAATGCTACACTCCAATTCTCACATCCGCGTGCGAAAAAGACCTGCGTGAATCCCTGAGTCCATGTGAGTCCACGTGCGTTGCCAAACGTGTGCATTTCTCAGCTCCAACCGGGCCCTTCAGTGCTCCAAAGAAGTTGCTGCTTTCACAGAAGGCTGTGAGTCGCGTTTCTCTGATGTTCCCGATGGGCTCTTCAGCCCCTCAGAGTCGTGCTGATCAATGACCGCCAAAGTCATAAATTGGGCCCTGCAGTGCCACACAGGTGGGGTCATGGAGCGACTGGGACTGAGTCATTAAAGCAAAGTGCCTGGAGCTGCTTTTGCAGCAAATCTATGTATTCATGAGCTGATTTGAAGTTGTTATTGCGGCTCTTGTTTGCATACGCGTGTAGACACACGATAATATATGTCAAAAAAGGTGGGGTTCTTGCGGTTTGTTGGAGGCCGCGTTGGGTTGGGGGGCCATTCATAAGCCGGAAGAAGGATGAGCGCAGCCATCGCTCGCCATTCTTCTACTGCTCATTCTATTCACGCGTGTGTGTGTGTGTGTGTGGCTTTTGGCCGCGCCTCCGACGAAGAGCGGGTATTTCCACTTTTCTCAATCATTGGACCAGCTGCCCACTGGAGGAAGTTTCTGTCTTGCTTTGCTGTTGCAAAGATTCGAACACTGACTTTGATGGTTCGATTCCACCCTGGTCCGCATTGCTTTCCTTGGATTGCGTTCTTTCCTTTGGTTTTCATCGCATCGTCGTCGGGAGTAGCGGATTGTCTTGCGTGTTGTGGTTGGCGTCGCCTTTCCATGCCTTTCCATACACACACTACATATAATATATTGATATATATATATGTGGAATTAATTATGCCTCCTTTCCATCCTGTCATATTGAATCATCTTGATCATCTTGCCACAAATCGGCATGGAAGAACCCTGTGAGCCAGGCCATGATCTCCTCACGTCCAGAAACCTGACATGGATTGACAAGGTGCAGTCAATGAACTTCTCTGGCACCCCATGTGCAAAGAGCCAAAGTATCGAGCCTTAAGAAATCGACAATCCAACCCAGGGCGTCTCCCTCTTAGGGGGTCTCGATGGGTCTCCGAGGGCTCTCCAATACACCGCCACATATTGGCCATCTTGTGGCTCCCCAGGACGGTTGCAGAGAGCTCTTCGACTGGTCACAAAGGGAGCATCCGCTTGCAACAAGCTGGGAAGACGCTTTCCGATAGCCTGTTCAGCAGATTGATCGAGATCACAAATTTTCAGAAGATTGACAGGGAATCAAATGACAGTGGCAAAACAAACGAACTCTCATTGATTCTCCCGAAAGACATCGAAAAAACTTCGCACGGCATTGAGATGAGCTACACTAGGATGAGCTAGTGATTGCGTGTAGCTAGTGAGTGATGGCCTTTGGTCTTCTTGAACTCCTTGTAAGTCTTTTTCCAGGAAGATGGTGCTGGCCTTACAAGTCACTTGCCTAAACGTTGGGATCTGCCGAAACGTCGCTCGCTCTGCGGGTGGATGCAGATTCCGAAACTGGGCTCGATGCGGGTTGATGTCGCTCGTGGGCGAAACCTACCGCACAGCAAAGACCATGCAAAGACCAGCAACCCTATAGTGAGATCATGGAAATTGGTCGCTGCCTGTCTGATTCTGAATCCCATGTGAGATCATGGGAAACAATGAAATATGGCTTGACTGTTTCATCTTTTATCCTAGCTTCCTTCACTTCCCTCACGGCAACAGTAAATGATAATGGCTATTAGTAAGAAGATTTTCCAACGGTTGGTGGATGGGATAGACCTATTGTTTATAGCTTCTTGAGCTTATTGATATGAATGGTCCCGACTTGATCCCATGTCAATGTAAAAGCTGGCTGCCTCAAGAGTGTACGGCATCGTCTTCACATCTGCATTCTCCTCCTCCCAAATGAAGTCAACACCTGTGTCATTGCACTGCTCCATTCCAGTCAGCGTTCAAAATGGAAGGACATTCACTGACCTAGTCCGTTTATGTCAATACATTCGAATCAATGCTGCAACGTGCTTAAATCTTTCGGGGCGAGTACATACCGGCCCCAAGCTTCTACACTACAGAACGGGAAACAAATGCAGATTTTTTGAGTTGACTCGAGTAAACAACAAAATCATCGATTTGATCTATTTGGAGATGATGACGTGAGAGCCACAACGGCCAATCTTATCTATATAAATCACATACTGTCTGTTCTTTCTGCCAAGCTCAAAATCCGCCACAGGTGTGGCCTCCAACTGGTATTCCAGTCCTAAGGATTCAGCATTGCTGAGTCATCTTGGTTTTTGATGCTTTTGCGGGCTAGTACATGTGACGGCAAACCGATTGTTACTACGTTCGCTTCTTGTTACTACTAGTAAGGCACCTGTTACTACTAGCGTGGCACTTGTTACTACTAGCTTCTTAGGCGAAGCTTTCGCAGCTTTCCAATGCTTCCAAGCTTCACGGAAGCAAATTCAGCAACATAGGGAGCAATGTCTTCCCTTAGGACTTGACACTGTCGACCAGGTGGGCTGAATCCACAATATATACAATAAATCGACAGCGACACCATCTCACCCTGAATCTGAAAAGCATCCCACCATTGACAATCAAGGCGGCCATGATACAAGTACTATCGCCATTCGTTCCTCTGAATGCTGGTCAAGGCCTGGGTCTTGTCAATCATCTAAGCTGCCCACAAAGGAAAGCTGAAATCTTGGTAGCCACCATGGTTGCTTGCCTCAGAATGTTTGTGTCTCAACCCACTTGTTGCTCCATGATTTTTGTTGTTGTGGCACGAGGCAATCATCATGCAGCCCGATTTTGGTGGTCTATGCATAGATGGGCATGGTCTCTAGTGTGACTCTACAAATACAGCACATGTATCATGTATTGGTGTATGACTTCTCCAAAATGTCTGTCCAGCATCAAAATGTATTAAGATGTTGTCTCCAAAGTATGAGGAGCAGCTAATAAAAATGTCATCAACGTTTAAACTTTGGGGAATTGGTACTAGTTTACACAATTCTGCCAGAGTGGCAGCCGAAGCAGATTTCAAAGACTGCCTGGAAGGCAACGGAAGTCGGATAGCGATCCTGATCCAAATAAAATTGATACCGTGTGAATATAACCCAAGAAGGGCTGAACAAAAATTAAATGGTGGGGTGTGGTGGGGTCATATCCACAGGCGAGAATGAACATAGAACATCATAGAACGACTTCCTTAACAGAATAGTTATAATTGTTTTAACAGCATTTCTTTAAGGGCTTAGGCTTGGCAAGCTTGACCATCCCGTTCCTGCGTTGAACGCGCCTTATGCGCCAGTAGCCATGGAAGGGTCTTCCGGCAATGTAAGTCACCCGAGCTTCGCGTAAAGCAACCACCTGCTTTCGGGACGAGCAATGATTACGGGCCTTGCAATCCCAACCATTGACCATCGCTGGCAAGTGGAGGGTTCTTCAAGATTTGGGGGACAAAAAAACGGCATCCAACGACAACAGCACAATCGTGACAGCTTGCACGCAAGCCCTGGGGCTAAAACAGCGATTCCTCATCCATAAAATGATATACAGTAAAATGATTCTATGACATTCAAGGCTCAACATGCATATTTTGTGGAACATTGCTTCTGCTGCCCTTCCAAATCAATGTCGTCAAGTTGATGCTTTCCAGCCCACCTTAGACTGCACGATGGCTTCGACACCAGGTCCAGAGTTCTCAAAGTGCATCTTCACTTTCTGGCTCGCGGTGTGTCTCTCCATTTGCCCTGACACTGGATGGTCCGTACTGTGATGTCATAGTGAACGACAATGACACACCGCCTTGCCCAACGATGGACGAAATATACCACACGTAGCATCAAATCGATGTTGTACGAAAAACATGCAATGCTTGTTCAGTTTTTTTGCCTGACACCCGACCCAAAAAAAGGTGCTCACTCTCCACTTGCTGACAAAGCTGGTTGACCTTGAAAATGCCTTTGAGAAGAACAACCCAACCCATCCGCTGTTCTTCTCGCGACGGATCTGCTTCTCGCGACGCTGCGCGTCCTTGAGGAACTCCTCCTTGTTTCCGGCTTGCATTAAGCCCAAGCTCGAATATCCGTAGGGATCCTTGGATATTTCCGTAGCAACCGCAGCCGACGATGACGGCGGGAGCCGCATGGAGCGCGGAAGTCTGTGCCTTGATGACCACGGGGAACTTGACGCTGTCTTGCTCCTGCGAAGTGCTTCTTCAGTGACTTGATCGTTGTTGGAAACCTTGACAAACAAAGAACTTTCGGGGTGGTTTTTGAAGGCTGAGGTCATGATCATCAGACTTGACCTGCACGGGATTTTGAGACGGATTTCCGGATTTCCAGCGGGGGGGGCCGCCTGGTGCTCTGGTCGAAGTGTTTTCAGGTAAAAGGAACGTGGCAAAACACCACCCAGCCATGCTTGAGCTCAAACCCGAAGCACGTTGGTGATGACATGGTCAAAGCGCAAGTGGCAAGTGTCAAACACACAACAACAGCAACAAGGAAAGACAGCAAGATCCGTACAAATAGGCAATTATAGAAGTTATATTGAAGGGCTGAGTCAACATCCTGACAAAAACTCTGGAATAATCATATTTGGATATATGATATATTTGATTTGTCGTCAAACCTATTGAAATTATAAATTTTATGACATTGTGCTATGTCTTCCAGAACTTGGCTAGGTATAATTTGTGCTGAACCGCCAGGAAGACTGTGGAGTCTGCGTTTGTTTTGGAGTCTGTCCACGGGAGAGCGGACCCACCGACTTCAATCCTCCAAACGCTCATTTAGATAGACATTGATAGACATGATGCTTGCTTTGATGTTTGTGTTCATCTGTCTTGAGGACACACATGGTCCAGGTCGGATGGGAGCACAATTTTCTCTGAGGGGCTATGAGGATCTATCTGGGGCTCTGGCAGCTTCAGCCTCTTCCAAGCTCGAGAAGACCCAAGTGGAGGGGATCTTCACCTGTTCAAAGCTGGGCAAATCTGAACATCGTCAGCCAGCTTCGCTGAGTTCTCACCGGCAGGTCTTCCAAACGAGGACCCCCAAAGTTGACCACTTAGATTGGGGGTGTTTGCAAGAAAGTGACAGCCACAAAAGCGGTATTCAAAATATCTACTTTCCAAGAATTCCAGTGTTATCGCGGGTCTCACAATGCTTTTGCTTACAGCGATACATGTGTGCAAGGTTTTCCTTACGTTGTGTTTGCAGCCGAGATATATACTGCAGCTCCAATGGTCACGGTCACAATTGACAAGTTGTTACAAGATGTTACAAGTTACAAGACAAATGGAAGCAAACAAATCAAACATCGCAAGGAGTAGTCCCTTGATCGGACAGTTCTGACTCACCAATTCCCTCGGCTTTTGAGGTGGCCCCGTTGCGTGAGGACATAGTCATTGGACCATTCCGGGATCACAAGAAATGACAAAAAGGCGCAGGGTCTTTCTGGGCATGTTGTCCTTACGGCGAACCTATGGCACTTGCGGCAAATGATGACTATGTTTCGTAGAGTTTCTGCGAAGTTCTTGAGATTCTCATGTGAACCACTATATAAGACTGTACATATATTGTAAAACTGCAATGCACTACCAGAATGGAGACATCATGACAAGCACCTCGCGTCTTTCAAAGTCTTGTAACCAAAGTTGATGTCATGTCATTGTATTTCCATGCCATCATGCCGCGTGAATACTCTTCTGCTACTTCCATGTTTCCTTTGTGGGTAGTGCAGGGCTTCAACATGTTTGGGCCTAGCTATCATAAAAACAAGTTGCTGCAATCTTGCGGCACCGCCTGCTGCACATCCCAAAACAAACCTCACGGAAACCTTACCGACATCAGCTACACTAATGTTTTTCACTGACTTGTTCGCCGACCCTCTACCAATTACTGAAATATGCGCGCCCGCATCAACATCTATCTCTTTTCAGAAACTGCGAACCATGTTAGGGATGTGTTTGCACACAAAGTCCCGATGTCTTTCGGTCTGAAGCCATGACGTCGGAAATTGCCACCTGCCACCTGGTCACTCACCACCAGTGAGAGGCTCATGGCTCATGACCTCCAAGAGCTATCTGTAGCATTGTGTGTCAAAACCCCGGGTCCCCGAGGCACCTTGCGCTCATTGAAGAGCTTGGCCAAGGCAACCTGTGAGCTGGCTTCAAATAGAAACTAGTACGTCAGAGGTTAATCCCGAGTCCGAGTACCTATTTTGAAAGCACTTTACTCCCTTTGTTTCTACCACTAAAATATGCCCTCATGGGGGAGTTGGGTATGAGTGCTTTCTGGGTTTTGTGTACCCGCCCACTAGAATCACTACCAATCCTGTCGCTCACCAGCAACACGCCGCATTTGCACACGTGCATCCCATTCGCCAATGGCCTTTCAACATTCGACCTCTTCTTTAGTCTTTAGTTGTTAGTCTGACGGAAACTTTACAAGCGAAGAATATCAAATAATAGATATTTATATAATAGATATGTTAATAAAGGGTTTTGTAAAGGCAAAAGAACCACATTGATCTTGAGGTTTCTTGAATGTTTGATACGCGTTTGATAATGCATGTCAGCATGTCATATAAAGTTGTCCTAGGCGACTTTTTGGGGGCTGGAGCTCTTCCCAGGTTCCCATCTTTGCGGGTCTCCCTCTTTGGGGGACCCCCTATTCAAAGAGACGACTTCAGATCTTTTTGTTTGGGGGTGGGGGGCGCTCTGCACACCTTTTAATTAATTGGGTGGAAGGGTTATAATGATATCGACCTTGTCGCCTTCTGAGTCCTTAGGATTTGGAGCCCAAACATAATGAACACTGAGCCTTCATTGAAGCCAAGCTGTAGATGTCTTTTACATCACCAAGTTCAACCGGCTAGAAATACAACCCGGGTATCAGCCCGAACCAAGCAAAGACGAGCAGTGTGCAAGTGGGACAAGTGGCCGAAGTGTCAAAAGCTCCAACAAAGATGCCTTGTTCTGGTAGTAAATGTAAGTCTCCGGAGGTGGGTATAGGATTCCGCCTGGCTCGCCATGTTTATTGTTGCACACTACCTGGATGTATTCCTATGACAATCTCCAGGTCCCTATAGCAGTACGGGTCATAAAGGCCCCACCATGGGCCTGCCTGCTTTGGCACAAACGACTCTGAACGAATCGAACCAACAGCATGTTGCGAATTTGTGTTTTAGTCCACCTGGTCAAGTAGTCTTGCAGAAACATGTTTCTAGGGAACAAGCGACATGTCTGCACTTCAATGTTTGTTCATTGCTGACGCCTATACAAACATCGCTGCTTTGAGAGCAAGCCTCGCTGTATGAACTCATCGTACCATTCTGCGATCTGATAAGGAAGCCTTGTGTCAGCATAAAAAGAAGCGCGGCTCAAGAAGCTTGTCTCAACAAGTTGACGAATTCGATATTTCCAGAAATGATCATAAATTCTCAACATATCTCACCATGATGATTAATTATATTATACAACATCTAGTAACTCAGCATATTATATATATATGTCTTGTCACGTCTGTTCCCCCTCCTGGATGCTGCCTGGCCTCTTCTCATAGAGCTCACCTTCTTGTAAAGGTAGCTCGAACTCATGGGCTCCTCCAACTCGCCATAAATACCTGCTACAGTCGCATGCTATCCTTTATGATTCATATCGTTTGTCCCATCAGTTGTGGGTGGGGGCACCTCTATAATAATACAGTAATGATAATGACCCGGTTATCCTGCACGTACCATCGTTCAAGCAGCTAGACCTGGATCGACACCTTGTATACTTAATGATTTCATGTCCACCAGTGAGACCGGACTTGGCGATTTGAGCAGCTGGGCTGCAAACACAACATAAAACAACCATCCTCAGCTGACAAATGATCCCATGTCTCATCCGGGTATCGTCAATTTTCAGGCTGTAATATTCCAAGACACCAAGAGTCAAAGACTTACAGTAGTTGACATGGTGCTTTGTTTAAAGCTACAACTTCACAGAATGCCATTGTCTCATGATATCTCACATTACCACTTCGGATCGGCCTCCCTTGAATAGAAGGCCTCCACCTTCTCCTATCCCTTAAGCAGTCCACAACTCCACCAGGCCACATCCATCTTCCCATGTCTTTCCATGTCAGTCAGGCAACTTTTTGTTAGAAACACTCTGAATGATTGGTGAACAATTAATGCAGAAACACTAACTACAGTAACTGTTTTGAGAAGGATTGCATGATAGGCGCGCCTGGTTCCGGGAATTGTCTCAGCAGCTTTGTCAATCAAGTGCGGCCTTGTCACAATCAACAGTGTCTGTCATAGGCACGCTGCAATCTTACAAACAAGTGTTTCTTATTGTCCTGCGCGTTGCCTGATGAATTTCCTTGAGGCGTTGCTCTCACCCTCTTGGACAAAGCATGCTCAAATAAACGTCACAAAAACTCAGCTGCCACACCTGCCTTGACACACCGACTGTGGGGAAGGTCCGAAGAAACATCTCCCGGAAAAGCTCCTGGTCACAAGTTGTAATGACAAACAGCTGACCAATTGCCAGCACATTCGAAAGCAATGCAACTGTATCTCCAAAATATACTGTTTCAAAACATTTTACCATGTTCCAAGCAATCATACCAGGTGCTTCGGTCTTTTTGCCCGCTCCAAACTTCGTCAGCTCATACTCGTCCTGGTGGTTGACTTGCTTCCCACCTGCATTGAACCTTGGGCGGCTGCCGATCGGCTTCCGGTATGGAAAGTGGAGCGACCCCTGTGGGACGAGTATATCATCTCATGGTCGTCCGGGACTAGTGACAGCTACCGTCCCTGTTTTGTTGTTTTGTTGCTTCAAAGAACGATGGTTGAAGGAAAGTGAGTGAAGGTCTCCACAGTTGAATGCAGAAACACACTTCTGTTGCTTCAGAAACTCAAAATACAAGTGACAAATCAGTCCGACTTCCCTGTACATGACCTGGAAGGTCAGTAGAGTTGTTTGCCCTGTTGGGTGAAGCCTGAAACAGCGCATCACCTCATCACACATGGTCAACTGCTGAGTAAGTGGCTCAATCCATCCCATTGGAGGCACCATAGGATAGACAACAGCCACCTGCCAACCCACCAACTCGACACACTTCAAGGGAAAAACACTGGAAAGCCAGTGCCAGTCTCCCCACGTGTTGTCCCGCAAAGCCACCGCATGCCGCAAGTTTGATTTTTCACTGCATGCCACTGGGTCATTTGAGGTCTTCAACCTGCCAATGTTCTCAAGCTGTTGGTGGATTATGTACTTAAACTCTGATTACATTGCTGTTTAATTCATTGTCAAACCTTGGGGAGGAAAATAACGAATGCCCTTCGAGCGCGAACTGGGTCTGAGCCCTGTACCATGCCAGTCGCCTTCTTGAGCATGGCATTGACGGGCGTGTTTTTAGGCCTGAAGCAGCTGCGCTGACCTTCAAGCGAAGCTGTCCTCCTGTCCCTGCACGTCCAGGCTCCCCACGTGGAGAAGCGTAGCATTGATTTGCTTTCCGAACCACGCATAATCTTCTGGCCTCAAAAGTGCTGCATCTGGGATTTTCACGACTCTGACTCAATGAAGCATCTTCTCATGCAGCGTCACATCGCAAGGAAGATCTGCAACAAACGAGACTTGTTTCAATAT